GCAACCATCCTGCAGCATATCAAAGCGTGTCATTCATCCCAGTGTGTCGGCTTTGGAATGAGCTCCCTCACAACCGACGGCAAGAACAACATTCGGTAAAAGTAACTATTTAAACAGCATGAAGTTTTCCCATTCATTCCTTATATCCTTAAAAAGCTGCACATATTATATGGAAAGCATGGGCGAACGTGCATCTTTTTGTGTGCTTTTGGTAGCAAATATCGTCTTCTAATCGTATTCTTGAACGCAATTTTCCTCTTAATTTTTAGAATCGTATTTCAATTTTCAAACAATTTTGAGACGGACCTGCCGTTTACTTTGTGCTAAGGGTCTTTAAATGTCATTCTGTACACCCTTACTGTACTAAAAGTAATATACCACACTTTTAAGAATAGACTATGGATGACCAATAAGATTTTGCAATGGACGCAGCGGAAGAAATGCCAGTAAGGATAGGGTGAAGGCCCCCAAGCATCCGTGGCATACAAAGAATACCTTCTAAACTTATTTACGAGGACTCTAGTCCGAAACGATTATTTTGGCTTGAGAAGTTATCGTTGTAAACACTTAACATTCAGTTTTAATTGTTCTTCTTAATTTGTTTGCTATATGTCAATGCCTCAAAGCTTATCCGTTCGAAAAACCAATTTATTACTTATCTATATTTATTTTGCCATTCCTCTATGCCTACCTCGCCCCGTCGTAAAATCCCGATTAACACCTCTCTTGTAAGACAGGCATCTTTGGCCGGTCGCGAGTTTGGGACCCCTCACCCGATCGTTGCCAAAATGCCGTGTGAATAGACATTTAACAGCTCTTAAAATGTGACAAGTATGCTTCATACACTAAAATGAACCTTTTCTTTTAACATAAAATCTAAAGAAAACGTACCTTTCTACCAGCTGAGTTAAACAAGCATAATTGTATGTGCGTATTCTACGAAATGCATTGAATTTTGTAAGGTCATCGAAAATGCATATAAATTTGCACACAACCCAAGAAGGCACATTTCGGAATTATGCCTCACAATAATCAATACTAAAATCCGTCTACGTAAAACTTTTTTATCGCAAACACACCTAGCATCAGAACTTTTGAAAAAAGGCGTGGTTCACATGCTTCGTTGGTTGGCGTCTTTGCGAACGCGGAAATGCTCAAGGACTCAATTATATGTCTCTACTCGTGTTTGGAAGTATTAATCTCATGACCTGTTTGCTTAAATCTTACTTGCCCCAGAGAGTAAGAACCTTCCAAGTAATGTTTAATATGTGAGTAACCTGAACAGCCAGTCCGGGCTAGACCGGACTACAGTAATGAATTAAGGTTTAAGCCAAAACCGTCAAAGTACTGAGACTGAAGGGCAGAGAGTACGTTTCTGACGTCAAGGGGCGGTGACTAGTACAATAGAGTACACAGGGATTCTCATAGAAAATGAGAATGAACCTTGAGAACTGAAAACTGAAATGATGTTTCCCTTTTTGCAGGTCTGAACAAATGGCAGCCAGGAAGGTTAGGGTCCTGCAACATCATCCTGCTCCGAATAAACAATGCTAAACAGGAGGTCTGAACAAGGAAGCTTCATAAAATACCCCGCTTGTTTACCAGAATTCGCATACCAGACCCCTCTGCCAATGCTTAAGAAAATAAATTCCGCCCTACAAAACCGTTAAGTAAATTTGAATTGCGAGCTGATATTCAAGCTGAATGCGCTCACGTATTAAAAATTTTTTTGATGTTTACAATCGGGTTGGATGTCTGAGCCAGAAAAAGCGACAGCTTGAAAACAAGGGTCGACAAGACTATTGAATAATATCCGTAGATTTTATTCTGTTCTGGACGCGAAATCTACTCTAATAAACACTTGGCTTGCAGTTATTTTAATTGAATGCGCATTTTTACGGGAGATTGTCTACTGTTACCCTGCTGAAGCAGATAGTGTACTACATATAACCGAGTAGTATTATCGCCTTTCTGCCATAGATCCTATTCGACTGGTTTTGTCGGCTGTCGCGGCCTGAACCCTTAAAAATAGGCGTCAAGCTACCCAGTGATGAGCAGTTACGCAGCAAATGGTAACGGCGTGGAGCGATGTTAAAAAGATAGAAGGTAGTCATTCAGTATTTCACCCTGGTTTAAACGCTCTTTTAAGGCGCTCAGATGACAATATCGGAGTGCGTACTTCAAAAGTTACTGAAAATCGATTCTATTGAAGAAGGTCTGTATAATTTAAGTACGGCAGCCGTGCATCGATTTGAACTGCCGACCACTTTGCCATTAGTGGGCCGGTTTTAGTCGCAAAGAACCTAACCATAAGATGCGGATATCGGAATTTAGGATTCACACTCAGGCAAACGTTTGACAGTCTTTGTTTATATTTAGGTCAGCCGCCTATGCCAGTTGATATTTCCTGCCATTTTCTGCGCAGTAGATCTATCTAGCTAGTATTTCTACATGCGCATCTCTATAACGACATCCGGCACATGCGCAACTAAGAAGAGACCGGCGAAAAAGCTAATAGATCTATAAGTCTCGACTGTACTTAAACATGCAGTAAGACCCTCGTTAATCCTTGGCCGTCTCACCTGATAGGTTGCCCGTCGCCAGCTGACCGCTGTCTCCCCAGGCGGGCTCCATCTGCTACTGAATCTGCCTTTGCCTGCTGTACGCACTAATCAAAATCAACCTTCAAAGGTCGCGGGCGTCAAGGGAAGCCGCTGTCCTCCAGCTGGCAATCGGCGTCCCTTACAGACGAACATAATTATGATGAATCGCACTTTTGCAGCATCAAACCCAATGTCTCTCTTCTCACGCCTAATATAATCGAATAGCAAAACAAAGTTAAGTCGATTGGAGACGGACACTGACGAAGCTGAAACCGCAACATCTTCACGTACTGCATACCGTCATATTCCCGGCCGCACATGATCCAGCCACCAAGAGGGAACTCGGATTTCTCAGTAGCAAAAGTGACAAGACGAGGGAATAAGCGAACCTCACATCTGATAGGTTGTTTTACGCTAAATTTCAAGGGCACCTCTTTCCGTGTCCTAACCCTAACCTCAACATTAACCTTTGCCCCAGTCCCAGCGCTAACTCAGCTCCTCTTTTGCTCTTTTCAATTTAGCGCAAGATCATCTGTTAAAGGAGCGAGGCGCCTATTTCCATAACCTAATGAGATAGTTCATACAAACTGCACGCTGAATCAAAACCACGGGGATAAGATTCCTATTGCAGGGGGACGGGGCGAGATATCCAATCAGCTTGCAACCTACGAGGTCATGAGTGTTTGTGCCTCGTGACTGCTTCGGCAGACCTACCATGTAACAGCGAAGAACACACAGAATTGTCCTGAGGAAGTGCACCTCCGCATCTAAATGTCTAGCTTCTAACTCGCCCACGCATCACTGGCCTGTCCGAAGCTTTCGACAAATTGCCGTGCGGATCGGAGGCAGCGGTTGATGTGGGGTGGGCTCCCGTACAACATACAGCATTCGCATTGACGATAGTCATTAACGGCCGTCCGCCCAAATATGTTGAATGCCAGTAGGGCCATCGTTTTAGGCCGGCGTAACAGTGGCGGCCTCAGTGAGAGTCGAACCCACGAGAGCAAATGCAAGGCACGAGTATAGTCAACGCCCTGCGAGGCTGAGACAGGGAGACGTGAATTTGTACACATACGGCACAAACTTGCCGCCCAGTCTACAGCAACGTATGAGATTCATCAAGTCCGACACAGCATGCTTACTGTCCAAGCAGGATTCCCTAAGCAGTCAATATAGAATCCACTAGACGACTATCAGGTTTGTCTAATTCGTAGATGCATTTAAGGTGTTTGAAGTAACATGGCGTAGTCAAGGCCTCGTAGCCCACGCCGTCAGTGTTGGCTGTGCTCAGGCCTCCTCCTTGCTGCCTTTGGTTTGAAGCCCGAAAAAGTCACCAGGATTTTTAAAATTGGGTTAAATGAATTATTCAAATCTGACAAAAGGCCTCTGAACATGAATTAATTCAGGCAACCAGAATTCATAGCATATCCAGCCTAAGAGACGGGAATTTCTCCAGTGAATCAGGGAAAGAGAAGAACATTATTTGTCGCTTGGCGGGCGACGTGTCACATTATGTCAGAAAGAGTTAACATTAGTGCGCAGTTTTTGATTAAAGTGATGCACAGTTGTCTACACACAATTTCGAATTCTCTACACTTTCTACGACGTTCTTGCGTGGCTTAGTCTATTGGAGGACATTTAAGACTGTCAATAGAAGCGAAGAGCCGAGTCCCAGGAAGTAGTCTTGAAGAAGGAGACACGATAGTCCGGACAAGAGCTTTATTAGTCCGACGTTTCTGATTCCTTCTCGAATCCATCATCAGAGACAAAAGAGCAGAAAAGGGTGGTTGTTGCACAAGGGGCTGCGGTATTTATAGGATGCAGCAGCCATGCTACCGCATACCTATGAACGTTCACGGCTTCCCCCTTCATCCGGGATTGTCATACTTGGTGTGATCATTGCTTGATGGCCGACATTCGAGTCGATAATTGCTGCAATTTCATCACGTGCGTTGGATGTTGGCGTGATGATTGCTCGACCATCTGACGCGTTGACCCGGGTGTTGGGAAGAGTGTTCACCAGTGCGCTCCCCGCGTGGCCAATTACTCCGCCTAGACGAAGTCTCAGCACGCTGTATTGAATGGGAAGATCGTTGCACTTGTTGATGGACTGGGGGCCAGTAAACCATGATTCCAATAGCTCCCGGCTCACTCGGTTGTCACCTCTTGCGAGAATTTCGGCCTCATCGAATTTAAATGTGTGGCCGGATCTCGTCGAATGAGCCGCAACTTGAGAGGTGGCGTCATTTCTGCGCACCGCTGCCGCGTGTTCGGCCATTCTCGTTCGGAGCTGTCTTCCGGTTTCTCCGACGTAGTTGCTTTGTCCGCAACTGCACCAGATCCGATAAACGACTCCGGACGTTTCTTGTCGTGGCAGTGGGTCTTTCGGTTTCATGATCAGACGTCTGATGGTTGCCTCCGGTCTGTGTGCCACTCCGACTCCAAGTGGTGCGAGAAGGCGGCCGACAGCTTCCGAAACGTTCTTGACATACGGAAGTGCCCGCGGTCCGTGCGGTTAGGCCTTTCGTCCCTTTTGCGTATGCACCGGTCGACGAAGTTGCGCGGGTAGCCATTGGCTTTGAAGACCCGTCGGAGGTATTGTAGTTCAGCAACTTTGTCTTCCGGCTCACTGCAGTGCGTTTCGACACGCCGAAAGTGCGTCCTTACACAACTGCGTTTGTGGCTGATTGGGTGGTTACTGTTGAAGTTCAGTACTTGGATCGTATTTGTCGCTTTCCTGAACACTTTGGTCTTTAGTCCACCATAATCCTTGCGGCATACGAGGACATCCAGGAAGGCCAGCTGGTTGTTCTCTTCCTCCTCCATCGTAAATTGAATGTCCGGGAAGACGGCGTTGAGATGTTCTTGGAATGTCAACACCTGATCCCGTTCGATGACGACGAAGGTATCATCCACATACCGGGCCCAGAATTTCGGTCTGTGGTGTTGGAAGACCAGCGACTCTAACCGTTGCAGGACCGCCTCGGCGATGAATCCCGAAATCGGCGAACCCATTGGTGTACCCTTCACCTGTTCGTAGATTATCCCGTCGAACGTGAAGTACGTCCTGAGACAGAGCTTCAGGGGCTGAAGGATTTGGGCGTGTCCAAGACGGTTCTCCGTTTCATCGTATTTGCTTTGTAGTAGCAGTTCAATTGTCTCGATCGCCAGGTCCTGGGGAATGGAAGTAAAAATGGATGTAACATCAAAAGATACCATGACCTCATTTGGATGGAGGCTTAACCCTTTGAGTTTCTCCAGGAGTTCTTCTGACGAAGAGACCGTGGTGTCTGACTCAGCGGTCAGGAACTTGAGACGCCGGAACAGCCACTTAGCCAGTCCGTCCGTTGGAGTACCTTTGAGCGACACGATGGGTCGGAAAGGAGCGCCGTCTTTGTGCACCTTAGGGAGGCCATAGAATCGGGCCGAAGCCGTATCTTGGGGTCTCGCCATGCGTCTGTCGGTCGGTGTTATTGCACCTGAGTTCTCCAAGGCCAACAACGTAGCATTAATTTCGCGTGTCAGCGCCTTTAAAGGGTTCGTTGCACATGGGACATAGAACTGTCGGTCCTCCAGTAAACCTTTGGCTTTTTGAGGGTAGTCTGTCCTGTCCAGTACAACTGTGGCGCGTCCTTTGTCCGCTGGCACGATGACCAGGTCTTTGTCGGTCTTTGTTGGCCACGCGGGGAGCGCACTGGTGAACACTCTTCCCAACACCCGGGTCAACGCGTCAGATGGTCGAGCAATCATCACGCCAACATCCAACGCACGTGATGAAATTGCAGCAATTATCGACTCGAATGTCGGCCATCAAGCAGTGATCACACCAAGTGTGACAATCCCGGATGAAGGGGGAAGCCGTGAACGTTCATAGGTATGCGGTAGCATGGCTGCTGCATCCTATAAATACCGCAGCCCCTTGTGCAACAACCACCCGTTTCTGTTCTTTTGTCTCTGATGATGGATTCGAGTAGGAATCCGAAACGTCAGGCTAATTTAAGACTGTCTTTTTTTTCAAAAAGAAGAAGTATCAGCGTTTTAAATGTTCATGCACTGTAAATGAGCCGGCGTCTCGTTCAGGCCCTCCGCAGTCTGCCCCACAGACTTGCTTACTTTTCTACCGTTTAGGCACACGAATGTGAAGTCTGCATCGGAATAGGCTGCAACATGTTGGATGCGGAGTGATGTTGTTGCTTGTCGTCCTGCCAACTAGAGTTCTTATTAGATGTACGCCCAAACGTCAAGTGAAGCATCATCATCATCATCATCATCATCATCATCATCATCATCATCATCATCATCATCATCATCATCATCATCATCATCATCATCATCATCATCATCATCATCATCATCATCATCATCATCATCATCATCATCAGCAGCAGCAGCAGCAGCAGCAGCAGCAGCAGCAGCAGCAGTAGCAGCAAATCCCCCACCACCAAGGACGGCACTATTTACGGTGAGCCTGTCTCGCTCCCGCTCCTGTTTTCGGGAAAAAGACAAGATGTGAAGTTGTACAACGTCTAACAAAGGACCACCATTTGGGCGGCGGTAGGCCAACTGTGCTTCTGTGCATTCAGAGGTCACAAATACATGTTAACTAGGGCAAGCTGTCAGTTCGGTACATCATGTCTGACTGCCGTAGAAGCCCTTTGAGCGGCCCATTACCTAGCAGGCAGGAGCGGTGATGGAGAACTAAAAACAGGAAATTGGCCTGAAGCTATATTTTTGCTAATGTCAAACACGTTTATGGGAATGGTAATAGAACATCCGCTTGGAAAGAGGAAAATGTGAGGGAATAGGATGATGGTAGGACTGTAGCGATGGACTTATTGTCTCTGCTTTATTGACTATCAGTGACAAGGAGTTGGAATACTCCATAGTATAGCCAGCGCTTCGTGCTCAACGGTCAAGTGTTGAACTGGTGTTGTCAACTCGCTGTTCCATCCACGAACACAGAAAATTGGCCGGCCCAACATCTTCGAATATACCTATTTCTTCAGTGTTCCCACGACAATGACGACATTTTAAACAACAGTTTGCAGACAAAGCCATTAAAACGATCCATTTGAGGCATGGCCTTTCTATACATCATAGACAAGAGCCGTATCCAGTTGGTTGTGAGATTCGCATTCCGAAGAGGAGATAGGAATTTTTAAATGACCCACCCCTGGCAGGACACCCGAATAAGTATGCAGCGCAATGCAGATGGTCTTGCGCTAAATTTTAGTTAAGTGTTGGGGTTACGACGACTGAGGTGGTTCGGGCATGTTCTTCGTCGTCCACCTCAGGAGCTCAGTGTAACTGCCCTCGATCCGGCACCGCTGCCCCATTGGAGGCGTTGAAGAGGGGGTCAGTTCAAAACCTGGCTCGACACAGTTCGTCAAGACATGGAGGCGGTTCTTGGACCATCGGTATTCGGTCTACATCGTTGGCGAAGAGAATGGGTTGAGCTTTCTAGGTCTGTTGCCGCGGACCGTCATACGTGGAGAGGTACAGTTCGGGACATATCGAGGCCGGCTAGATCAGGCATGATCGCAGTCGTATCAAGTACAAGTAAGTTACGGTTAATTTGGGTTAGGTCTAGAATAGGGAATATTTAACCTTCGCGGAATTTCGTGAAAGATCACCTGTATTACCAGAGAGGGAAAGGGCTTTTCTGTTACGGTGCTCTCTCGAAGCTGGTCCCGCCGGCAATGCACTAATATTCTCCAAGAATGCCAGTTGTAAATCCCTCATTTATCGCCAATTTGGACATCGCAGAGGCCGCTATTTTCAGTCGAAACCTTAACTATGGCCTCATGAAGCGGCACCTTGTTTCAAAGTAAGCAACCGAATTTACTGTATGTAGTCGGATGGACCCAATGAATTTCTTGCAACGGTCGATGACAAAGGGAGCAGAAGTAGACATAGAAATCGACCTGGAAGGAGGTGTCGGGCATCCAAGCCGTACTTCAGTTTCAGTAGATCTAAACTTTTACCAAATTTAGGACACTTCGTGGATGTTCTGTCAAAGAAGGATTCCATTCTCCCGAAAGAATTTTACAAGCACAGCTTCTTTGATGGTGTGAGGACAGTCGATAAAATACAACTTTTATTTAGGCGGTTGCTTCCCATCTAAGGCGTTCTGTAGCTAAAAATCTTAACGCTCGTAGACTGAAGAAACCGGAAAAGTGACAGGGCTTCATTAGATCCCTGTATTGTTGGCGTATATACTTCTTACCCTATTATTTGCCCATGGGTCAACTCAATTGGCTTTTAAAGTAAACCTTTCCCAGGTTACGGAGTTTCGTAACTACCACCAGTTGCCAGGACCTTGCGGCTTCAGACAATGTTCTGAAAATGCATCAGGGTCTCCATAAAGTGTCATCAACATTCTCGGGAAGGCGTCGATTTGTATGTTATTTCTGGTCCCTTTGAACAGGCTGGTTGAACCGACGCGCTGAAATATCCTATCAGACGGAAAGTAGCCCTTTATATCTTGGATGACACTATCGTCTCTATAAGGCCGTATGTGTTTCTCAGGTTTTTGACGGCCTCTCGAATTTAAGCAGCAGAAGTGATTTTGTAGAAGTTTTTTTCAAGAAACAGTGCAGAGACGACTGTGGTAGAGAATGCATTGAACACACCCAGAAGTAGTCAGCCAAGAAAGTTGACAACTGGCCGTTTTGATGTATCGTTTATCAGCGAATTTCAAAAACGAAGATAGAGTTTTCCATGCTAACTGATGACACGTTAGCGTAGAATCCGCACGCCGCCCTAGTGAAGCTTAGGAACAGTAAACTCTCAGAGTAATTGTCGCAAATACACGGAGATGGGCACATAGTCTCCATCAAAGCCAGTAAAACGAAAACGTGCTTGTCTTTTGCACTTTTGCAATCACTCAATTTTCAACCTTTGTTCGCGTGTCCACTCAGAAGGACTCATCCGGGGTTTTCATGTCCGTCTTTCAAAATTTCAGGCTGTTGTGCTAACGTAAAAGCCAGTTATTATTAATTGACGTATCCGTAGGATGACAGCAGGAAACATCTGGAGTCATTAACCGGGTTTGGCGCAGTTACGAGTAGAGGAAATATGTCGGAGAAACTTGGAGACCAATATTGACGCGGGTGCCCGAGCACGCAGCAGCGGCGAGAAACGAATCGCTGGTCATTCGATAAGGCCCAGCCAAATATTCAGGCACGACGAAGTGGGCCACGAGTTGTTTGAGCCATTGCTCTCCACCCACAGTACTTTTACAAACGTAACGACCTCCCCTCCATATTCTGCTCTGAGACTTTGTCTCCGGGAAAGCAGGTGGCCACAGTATTTCCAGTGGAATCGCTGTTGGACCGAATTTATGAGTAGTAATAACACCAGTGACCAACAAATAGAATGAAGTTTTGACCATTAATAATGTTTACTGCGAGTAATCGAGCTCAATTGTCTGCAGTGAATGCCGCAGACTCGTATAGATATGCCGTGGGGTATTGCGATACTTGTGAAGGTACATCTCTTCTGTGATGTGATGGATTCGGAATGGGAATCCGGGGATCGCGACTGCTTCCCGGAACTCAAATTTTCGGTGGTGCCGTCATTAGTACAGTCTAATTATGCGTGTGCTCCCACATGGGCAGGCTTCCATTTGCTGCGATTACGCAGTCTCATCAGTCACTTCAGTATGCGCCAGTTTGCCAGAAATCGGCCGGCCGAGACCGGCGGGAAGTATCCAACCTGCTTGCACCAAACATCGTCTGTCGTACTGAACGCAGTCAGGAGATTGCCATTCTGCTGCACCTTACCAGACGTCAAAAAAGGCGCACCTGACATGTAAAGCTGTTTTTCGCTTCGCTCACATATGCCTGAAATTTCACGTCTACGCGAGTAAGTGGGGCAGTTACATATGGTCTGAAAGACGACCTCAAAACAATTATTTAAACAGTGAACGCCTTTTTTACCTAAGCCCTGCTGTTGTGTGAGCTTTGAACTTGACAAGAAAGACCTCGATACCGGCAAAAATGACTCGACAAACCTCAAGTCATGGGAATTTTTTGTCGACTTCAAGAGAATCTGTGGTTGTTTTGTGCGGATCCCGGACGTCAAACAGATTAAACTCTCGTTCCAACAATTTCCAAACTTTATATTCATGCCGAAATTTTCCGTTTCGCATAAGTCACACCCAGGAAAACTGGAGCTTCTTTATCTCCACGAGCATAAATCAGACTGATACTGAGCATGGTCAAAGTGCGCACAATGCGGTCCGTTATTTGAATGCGGCGTCATACGGTAAAGCAGCAACAACAAGTGAAGGATTATATAAAGAACTTCTGGATCATCAGATTTCATGGCTGGCACGGCTGCGCGATCGATACTACTTATTTTTCATATTAAGAGGCTAGTCTATCGCCAGTCTTCGCCATCCAAAAACGCTCTTTATAGTTCCGCAGCTAAGTACACCGACAGTTGCCTCTTTTGTAGTCACGTTCCGCCGGGTGATATGAGTGACGTTGTAAGACGCTGGGTCAGACACGGGAATATGGATTGCTTTAATCTAGGCGGTCTCGGGCTAAATTTTATCACTACCTTTTCTCGTGTCCTAAATTTAATCATATCTCTTATAATAATCCTAACCCTCCTACCCATAACCTTCTGTAAGTTGGGAAGGAATCTTGTAATGGCATAAAATTTTGTGACCTCTTATTTAAATCCTCACGTTCATCACTAATTAGTATGGCTAACTGTTCGATGAGAAAACGGTTTAGGACGTTTAAAAATTATAGTCAAATAAAATCTTGGAATTTCAATCGGGAAAGTCGGCGGAACTGGTAGAAAGGGGAGAGAATTCGTATAGGCAAGCGGTTCTTAGATGTCACCGAAACTTCGCCAAGCATGGCACACCAGTCAGTCGTGTGGAGGGTGTTAGTTCAGGGAGGAGGGAATAGGATTAACTTTTCGTTCGAATCCTGCTATGACATTGCAAGAGGAATCACGTGGTCTAATTGTTTACATAGATCTAGCTTAGCCCTCTGTACTGCCGCGGCTTCTGGATAGCGTAATAGACGTTCATTTGGCAAAAGTTGGTAAGCATCTTCCTCATTTCCAAGGATCGCAGTATGTTGAACGTCTGTGCTGCGCGGCTAAACGGACATGCGCAATCTGAAACCCGTCATCTCTACACAACACGATGGTTATTGGCAGTATGTTATTACCGACAAAGACAAGAAAGACTGAAATGGCCATCTCTGACTTATTATCTGTCGTCAGCCAGAGGTGTGGAACACCTATGGCACAAACTCGCAACCTATTAGTTTTTATTTTATCGCCTGCAATCACTGAGCTACGGGCTCGTTGTCCCATCGGTTTCGATGGGAAATACGCAATGGTAGGGGCGTTAGCCGATCGTTTTTACAGAACTCACTCGTTCCGTTGTGCCTTAAGGGCTCTCTCTCTCGGGCCCAACCAGCAGCCGCACAGCAGCGTTTTATATAGGCAAAAGTTTATTATCGACAAAGACAAGGGAGACTTCAATCGCCACTTCTGACTTATTAACCGTCGTCAGCCAGTCATACCCAATCCTGAAGTGTGGAACACCTGGGGCTCGAACTCACGAGCCGTACTTATTCCCAACTACAGATGTCTGTGCATGCCATAATAAACGATACCTGTGAGATGGCGTGCAGGTGCGGATGCAAATACAATTGGCACGATCAAGGTCATTAAGAAACTCGGTCAGCGGATCATAAAGTAGATGACCGAACTCAGAAAATAAAGTGATCAGTAAACAGAAGAACAGAAATTGTGATTTTAACTTCATGAAAATCAGTTCGAAGCAAGTATTTCATGACGGATTTTTTGCATGAAACAAGAAGCGATTTACCCTTTACAAATACTTCATAGCAAAATTGCAACGTTTTACGTGTTTAGCCGCAGTAATGGGCTTGTTCGCGAGTAGTTGTTCTAATACACAAGGAACAAGTAGGCGTCAAGAAATATATATAGATTGCGCGCCACATGCTGCCACCTTTCTGTGACACGCCGTGCAACATAGATGTCACAACAATTGCGCTCGGAAGTTAATTTTTAGCGTATACAAAAGTTGGTAGCCGAAAGGCTGTCGCATGAAGCGCTAGCTTCCATTTTTCACGTTAGCCAAGCCACTCTCTGGAGAATTATTAATAGTAAAACAATGTCTAGACCTCGGCAAGGTAGACCAAAATGGTCCAAAAGTAAGGAAATCGACGATTCCACTCGTCGAAAACTGAAAAAAGTCATTTATTACCCTTTAAGGCTATCCAGGGGAACACCTGCCAATATTTTCTTTGCAAAAAATTAGGAAATGGACGAAAGAATTGATTGTTTTCGTTTGCTCAAACACACCTTGATCACAGACTTTTACCTTAGAAGAGCATTTTTTGTGATTAGGTCTTATTTTTAGACAGGCCTCCGAAATCGACCCCGGGTAGTCATATGTGGAAAGAACTCTATCGATACCAACTTTCAACAACTGTCGACGCCTGATGGTTTGGACAAAAAAATTGGCGTTCAACAACGGAGGGGATAAATAGCAAGTTTGCGAAAATCCTCATAAAGCAATTCAGAAGGGCATTTGGAGAGCATGCGTATGCTTTCGATACATTTTTCATTGGGCCTGTACGTTTATATGGGAACAAGGTGCAAACTGAAACGTGCAAGTGAAAAGAGCAACCGATTACTGTTCGTCTTTTCACACAAACAGGGTATGTGAATAGAGTGGGAGAGGAGGCAGCCAGTGACAGTGAGGGTTGGGTAGAGCCGTATTACAAGGGGAACGGGGGCGCAGAGAGGTGCACACAGTTAATCGATCATTGGCCACGGTAGACGCGAAGCTTGCAAGAGCTTCTGCAGCTCACACAGGACCGGCCTCAGTAGCCTGATGGCTGCCGCTTCTGCTGTTGCTGATAAGCGTTGACCCAGTTGCTTAGGACAGCTAGGTAGACCTTGTAAATCATACGGAGGCTTTGTTGGGATTCACATGATGCCCAGAAGCAACAGTGTGTGCGAGGATGGAGCTGTGTATGCCCTTAATTGCATCTTTCCTCAGCCATGCCAGCAGGTGTTCTTGTATTCTTCTGGATAGGCTCCAACCCGTACGACCATGGTAGCCTGCACTGCAGAAGCAAATAAAGGAATAAATGCACATGGTGGTGGTCTGCGCTGGTAGCCTATCCTTACATTCCCCGCGTAAGACGGGGTTTGTCGAGGACAGTACCCAAACTCTTTATACCGGTAAGGTTTGTGAAACGGCTTGGTAAATGCGTCGCCTTAGGAGTCCACTCGTTACGTCTCCTTGAACGGGGATTTTGAGAAACAGAGTTTTCTTTCCCGTCGTCAGTGTGATGAGTTTTGCTGTTCGTTTGGCAAGATTCCTTGCAATAAATCTGCCAGGATACCCGTTCTCCCAAAGCAGGACTTGGATTCTTCTAAGGTCCTCATCAACGCTATCTGCCAAACAGATTTTTCTAGCCCTTTGCACTAAACGGCGGGCTAGATTAAGTTTCCATTGAAGGGGTACGAACCTGTAGAAGTTCGCATAATGCCCAGACCAGGTGCCCTTCCGAGAGACTCTTCTTCGAATGCTGCCGTCAGATCTCCTGCTTAGAAGGCGGGAGCCTGCCCTTTCCACCTCTATCGTAAACCTAATCGACGAATGTGCTTGATTTACGGCATCCAAGAGGGTGGTTGTGTTTGTTTTTTGTGGTAATTGAAAAGAAATCGCCAAGGTAGCGATCTTAGTGTCTTAGTTTTTTGATTTGATCGTTTAACTGAAACTTCCCAAGCTTGCCCATGAAGACTTCAACTAGGAGAGGACCAAGAGGCCATGCCATAGCAACTTCGTCTATTTTTCTAAATATTTGTTTGCCAAATAGGAACTGCACATTTTGTGGGCATTTTAGTAATAGCTCCTTGAGTGCGTTCGTCGGAGTACCTATTTCTTGGTGGTCGGTTGACAGGAATCCACGTATGTACTCGACTGTCTCTGGACTGGAAAGTTTGCGAAGAGTGATGAGACATCAGGTTAAAGCATCACTACACCGTTTAGGTTTAGGTCTTTGACGTCTTCAGTGATTTTCTAGGCATCGCGATAGCTATAAGGTGCTAGTTGATGCTGTATAGGTTTGAGTTTCTTTGCTAACCCCTTCGCTATCGCACGGTAGGGAGAGTTGGGCACTTCCAAAATCGGACGGACCGGTAGGCCTTTCTTGTGGATCTTCGGTATACCAAACAATCGAGGGATATGTGTGCATATTGGGCGGAGATTTTAGAATTCGTGATTGCCTATAAAGCCTCCTGCATGCAGGCCGCGTAGGCAATCCCTCATTGTGCTTCTACTTCGTCCGTGAAATCTTTTTCTTTGTCGAATTTCTTATATTTCTTCTGGCCTGACAACATGGAATGTATTTGTGCCACATAATTCGATCTATTCATTATAACTACGCCTTTTATTTTATTCGGTCTATTTACCAAAATATATCTGCTCTCCTAGATGCTTTTACTTCTGTAAATGGGGTTTTTGACAGTAGTCCCCGACTTTTTCTGTTTTTGTTCAGATATTGCCAACTGCAGATCACTAGTGTAGATTTCAAGTGCTGGACACTATCTATAGAAATGGACTTTAGATCGTACGTTTGACTCCAGAAATTCTCGAACTGTGTTTCTAAGTGCAGCTGAGTGACTTTTCGACGAGGTCTGCAGAACTTTGGACCAAGAGGCAATGCTTCAAGGGGTGTTTTATTGAGAGCTATAGAAGAATAATTATGTGCGCACCGATCTGGGTACTTTGGGAGCCCTGATTGTAGTTTCATTTTGGGCATTCGTTGCAGGAGTGAAGATCTCGTTGCCTTCCCCAGCTTTCTTCCCTTAGACTCGGTATAATTGATAAATTCCAGTCTTTCGTTTCCTGTCAGGATGTCAAGAATGGCTGCGCGTTTGACAAACGTGACGTTCTGTTTTTTTCATCTTTACGCGGGTGCTTTCCAGTTGATTTTCAGCGTATCTTCTGAGGGTGACGGAGGTAGTAACTGTATGAAATGGCAAGGTTTTCATTAACATCGCCAAGGATGCCTTCGATTACAAGGGTACTTTTCGACGTCACATTGACACCGTAATGTTTCAAGATACTGCCCCTGCTCACTGCTCAAAGAAGGTATTATTCCAATTCAACTTGCGACTGTCGTCCAAATTTTAAGACGAAAGCCAACCTTTCCGCTTGCAGTTCTCGCAGCATTTTATTTCCGCCAATGGCGCAAACCTGAATCCAATCGGAAATTTTCGTGCCTTTATCCAAAAGGAATGTGGACAAGGCAAAAAACTGTATAAACCGAGCTGTGCCTTGTTTTGAAGCTCAGTCGTAGCTTTAAAGCAGCATAACTTCCCTGGATGCGGGGTGGGTGGTTCGTGCGTTACTGCAAATTTAGTTCGCAATTCGTAACCGTTCCTGAGATAGGTCATGAATTGCATATGTTGAAATGACTGCTGCATCGGAAAATAATGTGCCCATGAGTTCAATCAGGAAACATCTGATGAACAGACTGGTCATGTGGCGGATACAGCAGTAACATTTAACGCAGTACTTCGCTCAACGGCCGCCTCAGTATGTTGGAGAAGGCCAGAACTGTGTAAGCAATTACGTCAAGCGATTCACCGGCAACGGTATAGAGAAGGTCCTCACCTAACTGTCTGTAGACTGTGGATCGTGCCATATGTGATTGATGGTAAAGGGAGTTTTGTGGGTGAGGCAGCATGCTAGACAGTAAGCTGACAAAATGAAAGAAAACACAGACTTAGGCCGAAAGACTTATTCTACGCTATTGTATGACAACGGAAATGAGAATAGTAACTAAAAAAGACAAAAAGTAAATTTCAAAAAATAACGAATTTTGAGTATAGGTGTGAGGTCATGGGAAGCAATCGTTTTTGGCAGTAATTTCTGCAACAGCCTACA